AAGAGCGGGGGACTTCTGGGTTCCCGCGTCAGCAGGACTAAGGCCCAGTATCTCACCAGCCAAAATGGCTGCAGTTTCTACATAGATCTCTATAGATCTTGTAACCATGTCTGTTAGTGCAACAGAGAATGATCCTCCTAGATTCTTTGTGGGTGGAGAAGATGGAGAAGAATTACTGGATTCAGCCAGATCTACAGATTATGAACACTTCTATGACCATGGGGAAGAAGAGGAGGAAGAGTATGATTCTGTATGTACTGTAGGGGAATGTGTGTACTATTCTGTATGTTCTCTAGCATTATTTTACTTTGAAATGGCATTAGATCACAAAAGTCTAATACTGAAATAGTGTTCTGAATTGGGAAATTGTTCATATTCAGTTAATGATCTGTCAGTCATGTTTGGAAATGCAGCACACCTGAAAAGTAAGTATACCTTGAACTTTGAAGTAGATGTGCTTGACATTAATAGTTTCAGGACAGCTGAGGTTGGTGTGCCAGCTTTGCAGACTTGATTTGGACTCTGCGAATGAACTTCATGGCATAAGTCTTCATTTTATTTATTTGGATAATTAGTAACAAAAAATGATCACGAGTTTTTCTTTTGTGTGTGTTGTCAACAGCTGTAGAGTTAACTTTTGATTTTTCAGTTTGATCAGACTCAGCATTTCTTTTTTTATCTTACTGCCATTTTGATTAAGATCTGACACGTTTTCATTCTTCCTTGTCTTGGTGTATAGAAAGTGCATGCTAAATCAGTCTTAAGTTATACCTTAGTTTAGTGTCCTTGCAGAGTGTTCTGAATGGTATTTTAGCATTGTGCTTACCAGTTTTTAGTTTAAGACAAACTCTTAATTTTATTATGTATGAGTAGTCATGTAATTTTTTTAGCTGTATTTTGCTGTTCTTTTAGTCTGTAACATTTCACGATACGGAATAGTCAGACTAAATTTTCACTGATTGCAAGCATGTCTAAAAAATTTAAATGCAAGGAAGTGTTAATAAAGCACTTCACCATGATTAATTTGGAAATGCAGAGTAGTACAAAATTAGCAGCTCAGACAGCTCAATTCAGTCAGTGTGTTTTAGCAAAGGAAGGTAATTGGCTGTCTTAAAAGAACAGTAAGTTGAAATAAAGGATTGCTCTGTTCTGTTTTGTTTTTGTTTTTTTCATTGTAAAAAGAGTAGGTTGGCTGTTGCACTTAGGAATACCACTGGAGGAAAGAAATTTTTAAAGGCTTATAACATGAAAGAAAGTATAAGGAAGAAGAGTGAAAATGCCTATGCACAAAATAGCTCAGAAATCTAGAATATTATTTTCTGGTTTACTAGTTTTCCTTTTCATAATTCACTTGTAATATTAGGTAATAAGATGAGAAGCCTTGTGACTACTAAGTAGATATAGAAAAATTAAATCATTTAAAAATGAATTGCTAGTTAATTTCAGAGCAAGCCATAAGTATGATTTCATTCACATTTGACATTTCTGACTTAGATTTTGATCCTGTGTATTTGTTCCTGATATGATACTCACAAAAAGTAGTGTAAAGCTATTGAACTGTTTTATTTTTTTTGTGGCATTTTTCATAAGGATGCAGTGTGGCATGCTGTCGCGCTGCATTTTGTTGCTTGCTAGCAATTTACCTGATTAAAAACTAAATAAAAGGTAGTACATTAATTTTAACATGAAATATCTGCTGTAGTGTTGTGCTGCTAAAACCCTATTGTGTTCTGAGAAAACTTAAAAATAATAATTGCTTTTCCCCCCCCCTCTTCAGCCACCAGAAAGACAAATTGCAGTTGGGATTTGTTCAATGGCTAAGAAATCTAAGTCCAAACCAATGAAAGAGATTCTTGAACGTCTCTCCATGTTTAAGTACATAACTGTGGTAATATTTGAAGAGGATGTTATTTTGAATGAGCCAGTAGAAAACTGGCCTTTATGTGACTGTCTCATTTCTTTTCATTCTAAAGGTAAATCTTCTAATAATTCCATAAATATTTTTGACATCTAAATACTTTAACTAGTTTGAGGGTCTTTTTATTTTTTTTTGTCTTGTAGTTTCATTGGATTTTCCTAGGAAACGATTCATTTGTCTTGTTAAATATAATACAACTAACTTTTAAAATATAAGCTTTTTAAATTATACTGTTTTCATTGCTTGAGAAAGTCCTGTCTGACATGGTATTTAGAATAGCTAATCCATTGGTAAATATTTGTGGAGCCAGTGGAGGTGGTGATCTAATACTTACTTGGTCCAATAACTGTGAAGTCATGCTGCTTTCTCAATGGGAGTGTTGGGTCACTTGTTCATGTCTCTCTGCTAATATGTAGGGTTTTTTGTGGGGCTGGACAGTGAAGACGAGTAGACTGAAATAAAAAATCATATTTTCAGGCAGAGGCAATAAAAGCCTTAGTTCTGGCCCTATGGAAGTGGAGGGCATGTGGATTGAGGATGGGGGAATTGGAGACAGGACCACTACTTTTGGCAGCCTGTACAGCAATTAGGCTGTAGTTTCATGATTGTCTTAAGCTGATGTTACATGTGTCTATAGTTGAGGGAGCAGCCTGTGACTTCAGGCATATATCTCATTGTACTCTAAGGCTTGAATATGAAAGTTCCAAACTGTTTACCGCTGTTGTGTCTTGTAGTTTTAATTTATTTGCCTTAATAAATATTTTAGGATTTCCACTGGACAAAGCAGTTGCCTATGCAAAACTCAGGAATCCATTCATAATCAATGACTTGAATATGCAGTATCACATACAAGACAGGTAAGTAACACTAATTACCTGTAAACAGCAAGCTACTTTTAAGTCAGAGACTGTGAGAATCTGTTGGTATTGCATAGGAACAATTCCAGTGTAGTAGTCTAAATAAAATTACAGCGAATGTTATGTTTTATTAATGTATGCATAGTTTTCTGGGATATGTCTTTAGGTGTGTTTTTTCTTTTACTGCTTTTATATTGATACATCTGAAGATTTATCAAGGTAGAAATTTGGTGATGCGTTTGTCTAAAGCTTAGCAAATAAAAATGTTTAAACTCAGAAAATATGTATAGCATAGCTATGTATTGCAACTGTACAACCTCCTATAGTTGTAGAATTCATGTGGCTTACTAAAGGTCTTTTTTTCTGTTAAATGGATACTTAACAGAAGTAGTTGGTATTCAAAGATCATGTGGCTATTCAAAGTGAATTTTCTTTTGGGGCTGCAATCATGCATAACAAACATTAACAAAACAATAGTGACCAAAATAGATAAACACTGGAACCTTCTGAACAGTGAGAAGACTGGCTATTTTGGATGCCTGCAGTTGCTGTTCTGTATAAACTTCTTCAATGCTTCATGTTAATAATCTCCTTTAAGAAGGGAATTGTTCTATTAAATTGCTGTTGCACTGCAGAGTGGACAAGACAGGACTGGCATAGCACATTACATTTTTATTGATATTGATGAGATCACTGCAAAGGTACAGCTGTGTAAGTGACCTGTAAAGCATTATATTAATAAGTAGAGTATTATATATGTAATTTTATACTGTGTGATTTAAAAAAAAAAAACTATGTATTTTTCACCTCCCTTACTTACGGACTGTAAAATACAAATATTGTCAGGATTTGCTGCCTTACTGTGCAACTTCTTTTCTTCTAGGAGAGAAGTATACGGTATTCTTAAAGCTGAAGGCATTTTACTTCCTCGCTACGCGGTTCTGAACCGTGATCCAAACAATCCCCAAGGTAAAAACTGATGACTAAAATATCAACCATTGGCATCTCTTTGTTTCCACTGGAGAACAATACATGCATATCGGAAAGCTAAGTTTCACTTGCCAGACAATTAATTCATTGGTGCAAAGGTTGATTTCTCCTCCAATATTTCAAGTATTGTTGTAGATTAATCCCTACTGGCTATGGGGGCAGTATGTGAAACAGAAAAGGTGTTGAGGCTATGTAAGCACTGTTCAGCAATAACTAAATAATCAAGACTGGTTTGGTCACAAATTCAAAATATCGCAGCATACCAGCTGCTGTGAAGAAAATTAACATCATCTCAGCCAAAGGCAGTACAAGTATGCATCTGAAAAGCTTGATTCTGAAGCCTGGGGTCACAATCCTCTTACAGCCATCATAGAACAACTAGAATATAAGGCCTCCAAACTCAAGCTGAGATTCTAGTATCTCGCCAAAGATAGCAGCATTCATGATGTTACATTACCGACAATAATTAGGAATTTTACTTAGGAAAGTAATATTGACAGAAACAAGTCAGGCTATTGAATACTTTCCTTTCTAAGTACAGGCAACCGTGTAAGGTAAGTCTAGTCCAGATTGATCTGCAGATGATATACTCTGAATATAAATTGGAACTAGTTTTTTCTGTACCTGAAAACAAACATAACCACTTTTTCTGCTAAAATGAAAAGTTATAGCAACAATAGGAGATTGCAATGACAGGTCAAGACACAAGAGTAAGAGATAAGAAAAAATAAAGAAAATTGAAGTATTACTGTGGTATAGCTCTTAAGAGGTAGAGAATTTTAGGTTAAAATGTCTGCATAATCTAGGGGGAAAGGGACTCATTTATGTTACAGAAGTCAAATAAAAGCTGCTGCACAGAGCGAACCAATAGCGAAGAGATTCCTGGTCTCTGATTCCAGAGGACCTAATCATCTGTGCACGGTGCATCAATCACGCAGTATGAGACAGTTCTCAGCCTATTAAAAGTACTATTGCATCTGGTACCACACCATGTTCACTGTCCATCTGCCATCCCCCTGCTATTTCAAAGAAAGGCCCTAAACAGTCCTACCCCGTCTTCAGAACATTTCCAAAAAAATACCACCCATGTAAGCTCAGGCATCTGTAGGAGACGATTCTGGTCTGACACTAAGGGAATCAACAGACGTCCTGGAATGTAGTATTAGAGTAACGTAGTACAGATGTACAGCAGGCATGTTCAGCACATGGTCATCAAGTCTTTGTACAGTCACTAACGAATCAGTGAACCGAAAATGTAATGTAATCTTTTTATTTCAACCTACAAGATCACCCCAAATCTCTAATAATTTCATTCCATGAATATATTATTACATCTCTGTTGTTTGCACTGTTTCTTCAGAATGCAACTTGATTGAAGGAGAAGATCATGTGGAAGTGAATGGAGAAATTTTCCAAAAACCTTTTGTAGAAAAGCCAGTTAGTGCTGAGGACCACAATGTTTACATTTATTATCCAACATCTGCTGGGGGTGGAAGCCAGAGGCTCTTTCGAAAGGTGAGAGTATTGCGCTAAAGCTATTGAGAAGTTGAAGATGTCTAACAGAATTGCAGAGTAATTCTGTCCTATCCGTCTGTTAGCTGGGACCTGTTTTGTCATGTCCTGTGTTGTCCTTGTGTGGCAGGAGTGGCAGATCAGAGAAATTAATTTCAGGAGAATGTGTAGATTGAATGAAGACCCTTGTTCCTTGCAGTAGATTGTCAGCCACTGCAGATTCTTATAGGTAAAAGAAGCATACACTATCAGTGCACTTTTAGAATCTTATAAAAATCTTTTGGGGAACAATCAAAACCTAATTGCTTCATTTGGTACAGAAAGTGTTTTCTTCGTACAGGTGTGTTAATTTAAGGAGTTTTAAAGTTTCTCAGGCAGTACCCTATGAGTTTATTAATAGAAAAATATTAATTTCAGATTGGCAGCAGAAGCAGTGTTTATTCCCCTGAAAGCAGTGTGAGAAAAACAGGCTCCTATATTTATGAGGAATTCATGCCTACAGATGGCACTGATGTGAAGGTATGACAACTGCGCCGCCTTATTTATATTTAGAACAATCAAGTGCTCCAAGAGTTTGTCAGTTTTAAAGAAGAAAGTATATCTTTGTGTCAAGGATTAATTTTAATGAAGTTTTGATACAGTTCATAAGTAAAGAATGTAATTCTTATTCTAGCTAAACACAGTACTTGTAATGTAGAGCAGCTTTGCTTATGTTATTGGAATCAAGTGCTAGAGGCTTATCACCCAACACATTGTCTTTCTTTTTTGTATTCTATTAGTGCCAGAACAGCATATACTTTCCTGTGTAAACAGATAGGTGCTGCCTATATATTTTGTCTGGAGGTTACAAAGAAAGCTGTAGTTGAAATAGATTTTACCAACTATCTTAGTATTCTAATTAATAAACAAAAGTTTCTTACTAAAATTATATGAAATTACAGAAAATAATGCACTGACCTTGTCTGTAATTATTTTCACTCTTTTGTTCATTTATTTTCTTAACAGATGTAAGGATTAGGTATCATAAAAGAGAGCTAAAATAGAGCAATAACAGAATAGGTGTTAAGCCAGACATGTATGGAGATTGCTTTCTTTCCCTTTGTGTTAGTTCTGGCTATTTTAAGCCCATCACAAAAACATGTGAAAGACATGTTTCACAATATGCATGAGATCACTTTATGTAGACAAAAAGTGGAGGTTTAAAGTGTGTGAGATCTAATCCAATCTTAGGCCAAAGAGCCCTTTTATGAATTGCAGTCAACTTCTTCCACTTCGTGATACATGAGGGGAATGCTCGTTTTATGTTTTCAGACAAATTCCCTGGTTTTAAGTTGCTGTGTTTTCATGAGCTATATTCTTCAGGTGGTTACGCTGTGTCACACTTAAGGAAGAGAATCACTTAATCCTGCAGCCAGATTTTAATAAGTAAACTGAAATAATTCTCAAATTAATCTGCTATCCAAGTTCTGCAGATGTTTTGGAGGGGAAAACATTATTCTTTACCTCTGTACCACCATAATTAAGAAATTAATTTTTATTCATCAAGTTTTATAATTACTATTTTTTTACCTGTGCCCCAGCTGTTTTTTCCTCTTGCTTTATCCTAGGTTGTCAGTAAATGATGGGTGTTTTCTGAAGGCAGAAAATGCTATTGAGGAAGGTACTTTAGAGTGACCTTATCAATGATGAAAGCAGCTAGTATCTTTTAAAGTTATTATCACATTTGAGATAAATTTAGCAAGATGTATGCATATATGTAATGTAATTTAATTACACTGAATCAAGAGTTCCTGTTTTTCAATAAAGGTGTACACAGTAGGTCCAGACTATGCTCATGCTGAAGCCCGGAAGTCTCCAGCTCTGGATGGCAAGGTAGAACGAGATAGTGAAGGAAAAGAAGTGAGGTATCCAGTCATCCTGAATGCAAGAGAGAAGTTAATTGCTTGGAAAGTATGCCTTGCCTTTAAAGTAAGCTGATTACTTTCCTATCTGATCAAACATTTAGTATTAATTGTTTATTACATGAAGCTTCCATAGGGTTTTAGTGCACAGAGACAGCAGTGATTATTGCTGCAGAGCTCATAGGAAGGTGAGAAGTTGAACTTCCACATCCACATTTTTTTTTAATCTAGAAGAATTTTTCCTTTAATGCATTGAAAAGTTCTGGATGGGTTGCTTATGTTGCATAAGTTTCCTGAATTCACATATTGCTATTGTGCTTTGCTAGTCCACAGTGTATCTGTTCTATGTATAATACATTCACACATTTTGTTAATGGTTTGTAAGTTAGTAAAATACAATTTCAGTAGTCAAGTTTTTGTAACTTTTGTTACCTAGTGTTTACATTGGGCCCAATTAAATGTTAATTTGGTGCTGACATGACTAGGTTTTCTTTATTTGAAGTGTTTGATAGTTTCTATTTTTTATACTTTTAAGATTGCTTGTTCAAAACTTCATTCAATCTCTTACCCTCCTTTCACCTGTCTTATTACAAGGCTGTCTTTCAGTCTGTCTCATTACCTGTGTGTAACTATGGTGGCATTCTGGAGCCTGTAGTCTGTGAACCTCTATCACCTAGCAAAGTGGGCTTTGAGATCTAAAAAAGTAATCTGTTGAAATAGCATCTAGTATCCTGTACTAATAATGTCAATATTATGTCAATGTCAAAAATATCCTGTCAAATTTAAATTTGGACAAAAATGTTTTTATCAATATTTTGTCATTTCTTGCCTGCCACCCTTAAAAACTATGTGTAGGGGGAAACCACTGTCAGAATGGGGAATTTGTATGCCTATCATTGCTTATGCTGTAAATCTTGAAGGTTAAGTTTGTGCATATGTGACCTTGACCTTCAGTACTGGTACTGCTAGGGATATGTAGGAAGGGTAAAATCAAGTTGGGGATATAAAGTTAAAAATAAGGAAATGTTTGCATGACATGAGCAAACCTAACATGGAACTGGCAAAAGGTACTGTCATATTTTTGTCATGTTTTCAGATGAATACCATATAAAGTTTATTTAGAACAAGCAATCCTAAGGAAGGTGATCAATTACTTGAACTCTTATTCTTAAAAACAGCAAACAGTTTGTGGCTTTGATTTGCTGCGTGCTAATGGACAGTCCTATGTCTGTGATGTGAACGGCTTCAGTTTTGTGAAAAACTCCATGAAATACTATGATGATTGTGCTAATACTGGGGTAAGAGTTTACTGATTTATTTCAGGAGTTTTGCCTATTCACTCTGTTGTATGTGACTGTAGTTTATGTACTACTTACTCCTAAATTAAATATTATAAATGAAATATCACATAAAATAAGTCATTAAATAATAAAATAAATAAAATATTAAAGAGCCCTAAATAAATCAATAAATGCTAAATAAATTCCTTATTCCTAAAATCATCCAAAACATATGAGTCTGAGTGTTTTGTGAACACTTAAAGCTAACTGAATAAGTATTTTGAAAGCCAGATGAAGTTCTTAATGGTAGTTGAGATTTCTTTCAAGTAGAGAAGTACCACTGGATGGTTATGCTTGCTGCTGCTTAATATGTGCTCAAATTAATGTACATTGTCCTTGATCTGAAGCTGGTGCATACTTGTGTATTTGTGGGTTTCATACTGGTAAATCCAAACTGATGTAGTATCAAGGTGTCTTCTGTCATAGCATCTTCTCTCTCCTACTGGGAGCAAAAAAAGGTATAACAAGGGATCATACAGAATTGGGTAGTGAACTCTATGCCAATGAAATATTGCCCTCAAAGTAGGCTGATCCCATTTTGGCCAGTTAAACTGGCTTTACAGTAAGATTGCACTGATGAGATACAGCATGAGTTTCTGCGTTATCATATGGTCTACGATATTATTAAATGGAGGAAGAGCTAAGCTGAAATCCTGGATAACAACTGTAGTCCTGTTGTTTTAGGCCACTTTTTGAGTTACAATTCTCAGATCCGTTTTGATTTCTCTTTATTCAAATTGTTGTAGCTGTTGAATTCTCTGAAAAAAAAGTTATCTCATAATTTTTTCCTTAGGCTTTATTCCTTAAGGTAATACATTGCAGTGTTAAGTAACAGCAGATTTTTTTTGAGCTTTTTAGAAATGAAATTTTGGCTTATGCTACTTTAAGATGCACAATATTTTTCCTCAGTGTTACTGCTTCTTATGTAGATATTAATCTGAAGTTCAGTATATTTTGATGAAATACTTTGGAAACAGAACATTAGCAAGATTTAACAACCTTCTGTAGGTGGAGGCAGTGTTATAATTTTGTAGTTATGACCAGAGACTTTACCTATTTTTCCAGTTCTGTCACAAACTTTTGAGAAGTTACCACTAAAGGTACCAGTTACTCTTTGATGAGAATGGCTTGCTGATTATCAGGGACTGTCAGTTAGGCAATGGAGTCAGGTATCTGAATATTTATATGAACAAGACTAAATCATATCCAAGGAACTCTTTTAGGAACTGGAGTTCAAAAACTGAGCTTTCTTACAAATCCAGGGCCATTAGGCTAATGGTGTCTCTGTAGCAGTTGTAGTAGCTTTAAATTGTTGTTTAAATAGGTTTTTATTATACAATTAAAATAAAAATATGTATCTAGAGACTCATGACTGCTAGTACTCTAGAACCACATTGATAAGAATGCATGTATATATTATCTATTTGGTATGAAGTTTGTATGTGTTGTATAAGCTGTGCTTTAAACTTAGTGTTTTTTTTCTTTTTAACCCCTTTTTTAGAAATATCATAATGAGAGAACTTGCTCCCCAGTTTCAGATACCATGGTCGATTCCTTTGGAAGCTGAAGACATCCCTATTGTGCCAACCACCTCTGGGACAATGTAAGAAAATAGTAGCTAAACCTGAATTGTGCAAACTGCTAATGTAACTTTTGTGTGAATTTTTTTTTCTCTTCACAAGGTGTGCCCACTTTGGCCTATGAGCGCTTGTTTTGTGTGATGAAAACAAGGAAGGAATCACAATTGCTATGCCAGCAATCAGAGTTTCTGACCATTAGTCAAGCTGAGTATAGAACAGCAGATTTTCAAGTGTAGCATCTTTTATGCATAGCTTCCTTCACTGCTAATCATTATTCCAGCACCAACTTAATATGCACTTCTAATAAACATGCTCTGTCATTTAATGAACCTCAAAATCGTTGTTTTAAAAACTACTTAAAATAGATATTCCGTAGTTACCCAAGTCTTAAAATCAATATTTGTATTTTATATCTTACATCATTTTCAGTTAACCTTATATTCTTGCATATCCTTCCATCACTTCTGTAGTTATGTCAAATAACTACGACTTTGTCAATTGTCCTGATTCGTGGTGGTTTTAATATTAAATAAAAGACCCTCATATATAGAAATGTGAAATATAACCCTTGAAATTTCAGGATGGAGCTTAGATGTGTGATAGCTGTAATACGCCATGGGGACCGAACACCAAAACAAAAAATGAAAATGGAAGTAAAACATCAGAAGTAAGTAGAATCTTCGTAAAAATTAGTTTGGATGCTTTAGAGCAGAGTTCACTTCTTGGGGATGTGCAAGCAATGAATTTGGCAGGAATTGCATCATATAAGTTGTTTTTTGTTTTGTTTTATTTTAAACCTAACTGATGTTGCAGCTAATTAACAAGCATGCACCTCTCTTTCTAACAGGACTGTCAAATTACTTGTGCAGACTTCCTTCATCACATGCTGTGCCTTGTGAAAAGTCCTGCTTGGTCTTAATGGAAATGCATTTGTCTCTATAGACGTCTTTATTCAAAATAATGCAGCAGAGAATATTTGTGGTTCACCATTTGACTGTGACTTCTGTCTTTCTCTTTTTATTGTAACTGTTCTTGTGTGAGCTGTCATGTTACTGCACCACCTTTTTGTCTTTTACTTTTGTCAAAGTTTGATGACTCTGAATTTCTGGTAGATCATTATGTTAGCATTCATAAAGTACCTTACATAATTGGCCTGGAATTAGGTGCAATTTGAGTAAAAAGTAATTATTTGTTTTGGGACTAGATTCTTGCGTTCAGTGATACATGCTGTAAATGTGTAGGACTGCTCATTTGGTATTTTTGGTCCCTGTTTCTGTTCAGGGTCATTCTTGAAGATTAAGCATTGACATAGCTGTATATTCGAATATTATGTCATTTGATATATAGAATATCTTCCCCCTTTCTTTTTTAACACTTAGCAAGTCAGTAAGAGAACATTTTTAGTGCTCTTATTTCTCTAATGTGTTGAAGACTTTCTTGGGAAATGGGATTTGAATAAAGGTTGGTTTGACCTCTGTAGTGCAGGTTTTAACATGCTTTTCAAATAGTGTAAAGGTGCTAATTTCAGACCACTTTAAGTTTAAGAGCCACTTGTTCAAGTAATATTTTAATGTAGGAACTGTGTTTTTTATCACTATTCCTTCTCTTAAAGGTTTTTTGATCTGTTTGAAAAATGTGATGGATATAAATCTGGAAAACTAAAACTGAAAAAACCAAAGCAGTTGCAGGCAAGTTTGTCTTTATTTTCTTGCTGTGGTATTTTGTAAGTAGAACATTATTTATTTAAGTAAATCCTATGTTTCTTTTCTTCAGGAAGTGCTTGATATAGCAAGGCAACTCCTTGTAGAACTTGGGCAAAACAATGATTCTGAAATTGAAGAAAGCAAAGCAAAACTTGAACAGCTAAAGACTGTGTTAGAAATGTAAGTGTCTAATTTTCATGCTTCATAGCAACAAAGTTATATCTGCTGTTTTGACCAGTTTGACCAGTTACTGCTTGGATTGCAATGTTTATCAAATACGTAATGATATATTAATTCAAGCACAAGGGTTATCAAGAGAAAGGATGCCATGTTTGACATTATGAAGGAGAACTGGGCCATGGGTCTGTTTTTTCTCCTTATCTTTTAAATTGAACTTATTGCTTTATCTAGTGTCTCAGTATACTTTCTACCTGAAAAAGTTACTTTCTTTGATCTCAAATTTTATCTTCTTGCATGTTTTTAAACTTAAAGTATTTGAGTGCAGGGTCTGCTTCTTGCAGTGTGTGACATAATGAAGTCTGATGGAGCCAGTAAAAACTTTCACCATGTGTACTGTCTACTTACAGCAAACTTGGAGGATTCCAAATAAATAAGGCTTTGTATATTAAGCCTGAAATACATAAAAAATTAAAAAAAAAAAAAAAAAAAGAAAAACCTAAGGCTTCAAGGTTTGTTAAAGATCTGGGGTCTCAGAACTCTAAATGGTAGTACATAACTTTAATTTAAAAAAAGTCAGGGCAAAGACAGTTATTATTGAAATTTATGACATTTGTTTGAAATACTGAATTCTGCTTGAGAACTTAATTGGCTAAGAAAATAATGGCCATCTACACTGCCAGATCAGATTCTGGATACTTAGAGCCACTGGAGTTGTGGATCTGAAGAGATGAATTACTCATGCAATCTGCAAATGCTTTTTATTTTTTCTTCAGTTTTATGTTCAACGTTGTGAAAAAAAGTAGATAGTATGTTTACATGTTTCATTATAGAATGGTTGATATTTCTGTAGTCATACTGTTCTTGTTGAGTTAGGTTTGTTCTAAGCACTGCTTCAAAAAATGGTGGTCAAATGCACAAATCAATGACCAGCATAGATTTATTATGTCCCATTACAGGAGCATAGCAGGTTTGGAGGATAATATTTAAAATGTTTCTCTCCCTCTTCCCCTCTCACTTTCCCCTGTTCCTACTTCAGGTATGGGCATTTTTCAGGCATAAATCGCAAAGTTCAGTTAACATATCTTCCTCACGGTTGCCCAAAGACTTCCAGTGAAGAGGAAGGTATTGTATTACTTTTGCACCTAATCACTTAATATTGTGTATGTTTAAATAGTCACAGACTAGCGGTATAATATGTCTTGATGTTAAGAAGAAGGAATATGTTGTTTTGAATGAATATTTGTATTGTTGGCAGGTATTTAGAGTCTCTTATTCTGCTAAATCATACACCTAAAACTATGTAGTAAATTTGTATTCTAACATTGCTTTTTTGTAACAGAAAAGTAGGGTGAAAAGAAACTTCAGTGATTCACTGAGGTCAGGATGGGAAAGTCCTACTCAACATTTACTGCTGTTTTTAAATCTTTTATAAGCTTTTCTGGTCCTTGACCCATGATTATTGACTGAAATAATTGTAGGATACTTAGCATCCAATTTGTTTTAATTTTTCTGTCTCAATTTACTTTTTGCTTCAGATTTCATGCTAAATATTTTCCATTTATGTTTTCTCTGTAATTTAACTACTAAGAGATCCTTTACTGAAGCCCTGCATAGTCCAAATATTTTTGTTCATTTGCAAAAAAAAAAATAGTTATAAAATACTTTACTACTACACTCCTCTCTCTGTGTGCAATTAGATAATAGAAGAAACGAGCCATCCCTGCTTCTGGTTCTAAAATGGGGAGGAGAATTGACCCCTGCAGGCAGGGTTCAAGCAGAGGAGCTTGGAAGGGCTTTCAGGTGTATGTATCCAGGTGGACAAGGTAAAAAAAAATACAATAATAATTAAAAAAATGTGTTGAATGGCATAAATCCCTTTTGAAGATAATCAAATGCAAAATGAGAGTCTAAGCAAAATGTTTGTTTGGTAGGAGATTATGCTGGATTTCCTGGATGTGGTTTACTTAGATTACATAGCACTTACCGACATGATCTCAAAATCTACGCTTCTGATGAGGGACGAGTTCAGATGACTGCAGCAGCTTTTGCAAAGGTACAATGTGAAGTTGTATTTTCAATTTTAAAAATTCTGATGTTCTCAAGTTTGTTTTTTCTTTTGAAGACTGGGGGAGATATATGGTAGAGTCCACAGTGTATAATGAGGCTGTGTTTTAAAAGAAATCCATTTTCAAAGAGTATTTAGTTCAATGTGAAAAAGTGTCCAATTAATGTGCCAAGCATTTGAAGTTCTTTGAGCAGATGCACACAGGTTTGAATTATACAGCCCTAGCAATGTACCTTAATCCTTTCCAGTAATAACCTCCAAAATCATAGAATTGTAGAATATTTTGGGTTGGAAGGGACCTTAAAGATCATCTGTTCTTCCAGGGAGGGGGCATCCAAAACTGCTCTGGGCAACCTGTGCCAGTGCCTCACCACCCTCACAGTAAAGAATTTCTTCCTAATAATATCCAATCTAAATCTACGCCCCTTTCAGTTTAAAACCATTACCCCTCGTCCTATCATTACACTCCCTGATAGAGTCCCTCCCCATCTTTCCTGTAGGCCCTTTTTAAGTACTGGAGGGCTGCTATAAGGTCTTCCCAGAGCCTTCTCTACGCTAAACAACCCCAACTCTCTCAGTTGGTCCTCACAGGAGATGTACTCCAGCACCCTGATCATCTTTGTGGCCCTACTCTGGATCCCCTCAAGCAGGTCCATGTCTTATGTTGGGGGCTCCAGAGCTGGATGCAGTACTCCAGGTGGGGCCTCACGAAAGCAGCGTAGAGGGGGAGAATCACCTCCCTCGACTTGCTGACTACTCTACTTTTGACGCAGCCCAAGCTGTGGTTGGCAACATTTTTAGTTTGCACCTTGCTTATTTGTTCAGGGCCTACTTTCCTCAAATTTTGACAGATTTCTGTGACAGATTGTGTGTGTGTGTGTGTGTGTGTGTGTGTGTGTGTGTGTGTGTGTTGGTTAAAGCACAGACATTAGAACTGAATTGAGATAATGTATTCATTTTACATGAGCAAAAAATCGCAATTTTCAGTCACTTCAGTGATTTGGACCAGAAGACTTGAAGTTCAAAAGGCAACACTTTTCACTGAAACCATCATTAGTTCATTGATTTCTAGCTTTGCAGAGGAAATTAGAGGGTTTAAAGCTATTCAAAATGTGGAATTAATGAACTACTTTGCATATATTTTAATGGGAAATTGTACAGACTATACATTTATGGTGTTTTGGAATTAGTAGAAGTAGTTTCTTGAAGTTGTTACAGGAGACTTTTTACTTTGGGCCTGTCAAAATGGATACCTAATAATTAAGACATGGTAGCAGTACTACATATTGGCACTTTACAGAAATATTTTTTTAACATGTATTTTTTTATGTGAAATTATAAAAATTCTGTGGTGATGTTTAAAAAGCATTAACTTTTTTTTCAGTACAAACATTAATTTATAGAAACAACATAAAACACACAATTCAGAACTTTCTACATCTATAATGCTTGCCAAAGTATTCTTTTACCCCTCTTCATGCTAAGCAAATTCCTCTTTTGCTCCTCCTCCCAAGTAGCCCTTTGCACACATAATACTTCCACCTGTGAATAATTTATTCACTTATTTCCTCATTTCAGTGATACAGATCTTTTAATTTTGTAAGAGGAAACAGAGAGTGCAAGTGTTACGCTTGGGTGAATGAGTTTCAGTAATAATATAGGGTGATAGAGAGGTTTAGGTTTCAAGGGACCTCTGTAGGTTGTCTAGTCCAACTCCACACAGCACAAAGCCAGTTTGGATGAGGTTCCTCAGAATCATATCCAGTCAAGTTCTGAGTATCTCCAGGAACAGAGATTCCATAGCCTCTCCAGGTTTTTAATTCCACCCCTCATTTTCAGGTTGTGTCTCTGTTCCTCCCAGGTAGCCCATCTCTGCTTCCACCTTCTGTGTCTTCCTTTTTCATCCATGCTGACTGTCTGCATGACAGTAGACCATCATGTGCTTTGAGGAGGTTGTCTTTGGAGATCATCCGGCTGTCCTGGGCACCTTTGTCCTTCAGGACACTCCTCCATAGGATTCTGTGAATAAGCGAACGTCTGCTTGTTTGAGGTCTAAGGCTCTAATGCAATTATTTGTCTTGTTCACTTCACCAAGGGTCTGCCACATCAGATTTCAGTTACCAGGGCTGCCACTGACCTCCACATTCCTGACGCCTCGGAGTAACAGGTCCAGGGGAATGCCTCTGCTCAATAGTTCGTCAGTAACCTGTGTCAAAGAATTGTCCTGGGTGTTTTCCAGAAATCTGGATTGCTTGTCCCCTGCAATATTGCCCATGCATGAGGTACCCAGGGCTACAGGCCCCCATGGAAAACAGGGCCTGCAATCAGGAGGCTTTCTCCAGTTGTCTTAAGAAGGCTTCGTCTATTTCCCCTTTTAAATCAGGTTGTCTGTAGCAGAGGCCCACCATGATGTTGCCCTGTGCTTATTTGTCCTCTGATCCTTGCAAATAAGATCTCAACTTGCTTGTCAGTGGTTCGAAAGCAAAGGTCCCGGTGTTCAAGCTACGCCTTTATACAGAGCCCAACTCTGCTTCCTTGCCTTCCTGGCTTCCAAAAGGCCCTGTATCTAGCTATAGCAAAACTCCATTCGTGTGAACTATTCCACCACATCTCTAATCTGAATAAACTTAAAGCTCTGCAAGTGTTCAAACTTCTTATTTCTCCTGTTTGTTTCCATGCTGCATGTGTTGGTGCAGAACTATTTCAGCCATCTGTCCTGCTTTCTCCTTGGTTAGCAGGCTTGAGGAGATACCACTCCTTTTCCTTCCTTATCTCAGAGCCCTTCTGTTGCCAGAAAAATCACAAAAGTTTCCAGCCTTCTCCATTTTGGAAGTCTCCATTCACCTCTTCTTCAACTGTAGCCTTTGGTTGTCCTTCTGTGCCATGCAAGGTTTGGCCTTTTGCTTCTGTAAGGTCTCTGCAAAGACCCTGTCTATCTCACATTTGTCCTCCCAGATGCTATTCGGTTTGCTAACTATTCCCATAGCTACTATCTGGTGTCTCAATGCCTCGAGCAGAGCATGTCTCCCACAAGTCAGGCTGCTATTGCTCCAAGCATCAGGGAGAAGGCACCATGCACTCCCTGCAACCCAAGAACAACTATGGCCTCCCAGGAGCAATGTTGGCACAACTGAGATGCTAGGGTCACTCAGCTGGTGCTGGGGAACATGCTCTAGCCATGTCACCGACACTGTTGCACCAACTGTAGCAATCCTGCACACCAAGGCAGTTTTTGGGGGCCATTTCTATGCAAACATCTGCATTGTCTGCCAAATCTCTGTTTATCTAACCCACAGGCAAGTGATACAGTCTTGAATTTAAATTAGTGATTTGGGTGGGTTTTTTCAAGCTAGTCTTTTATTCTCATCTTTATCTGTTTGCCTGATTAATTTGTATTATTTGCTTCAGGGACTACTGGCCTTAGAGGGTGAGCTGACTCCTATTCTTGTCCAGATGGTAAAAAGTGCTAATATGAATGGTCTGTTGGACAGCGACAGTGATTCTTTAAGCAGCTGTCAGCATCGTGTTAAAGCAAGACTCCATGAAATTCTCCAGAGAGACAGAGAATTTACTGCTGATGACTACGATAAGGTTAGCATATGATTAGTTTCCTATGAAATTAAATAAATAGCCATGCAAATTCTCATGTAAAAGTAATGAGCAGTGATTTTTATATATCTGTTTTGAAAAAATATTTATGTGCTTGCAGATAGTTTGAACTATAAAGGAAGCTGTACCAATTGCGATACTAGGTATTTTGAGCTGTCCTGCAATTCGAGTAATCAGAATAGTTAGAAATTTTGAAATAGGAGTAGGTAGGGACCTCATTCGTAAATCTTTTTCACTGTTCCATTAAAAATATTTCAAATATTCAAGAAATTAAACTATATTGTTTACACTTTCTGTAATCTTTACTTCGACAGTGTGTGGTATTGCAAAACGTATTGCCTGCCTGCTGCAGTTGTTTCAATATTTAATCTGCTACAAGACCTTTTTTTAACTCTAAGAATACTAAGGTGCTGAAAACCGGTAGAATACTTTCTAATCAGTGAAAGGAAATGTCGCATTAGCATGCTAGATTAGTGCATATTAATGTAGTTTATGCTGACTTAGTAAGAACACACATGATTGTTCCTTGTTTTAAATGTGAGTAATGTTTGTTATTGTTAAGAAACGTCTTTCAATTGCACTGTATAACAACTGCACAGTATAACAACTAAATACAAGTCCTCAAATGAGGTTTAAGCTTAAACTACTATTTTCTAAAAGGTATTGAGAGCAAATTGAAAAATAATTTTACTACCCTGCATGAATACTCTATGTGGATTTGTTTAAACATATAGATTAAAAGTATCATCCAAACCATTGCCAGCAGTGGATTCAGCAGTACAAGTGAGGGCATACAAGGTCTAAAGGATTTATTTATATTCGCCCTTCTTTTTTCTATATAGATATAATGGGATTTGAAAGGTGGCTGGAACTAATAGAACATAGTCTTCTAAGACAGTCACTGAAAGTAACTAACCTTTGGGATTATAAAGTGCTAATAACTTTTTAGGTTTTGTTTGGGTTTGTTTGGTTTTTTTGTTTTTTTAGCTTGTGATGTGGGAAAATGATATGTTTCGGGTTTTTTTTCTGTGCCAGAGCACCTTTCCTATTGATTAACTTGGTCATAATAGGGAGGTAGGAACTGCTTACTATAAGGTAGAGTGCGGAAGTTTGCCATATCCAAATTATCCTATGCATTTGAGGAAACTGGGAAAAGTGCTAATATATGTGTATGTTATGGATATAAATTATTGTTTAATATCATTGTTTGCCTACTTTGGATTATGCAGACTTTTCTGGAAAAGTAAGGCTAAGCCTCACTTACATGGATATTGACTACTGTTTTAGTGACACTTGATGGTGATAATTTGTAGCTTCTCTAATTTCTATAATTAAGTCAGGTCTGAAGGACATCTTGTATGTTCTTGATATATGTGCATTTAAAGGGTTTCTTTTTTGTTTGTGTTTGTGTGCTGCAGTCCTACAGAAACAAAAACCTAAAACAGGAAGACACAAACTTCTTTTCAGGCATCAGTTACTATTGCAAATCTGATTCTTCCTTTCAGTTACGCTAAGGAGGCTACTTTATAGAACAAAAAGTATTTTGTGAGGCACATAGCCTAATGGTAACATTTCCTACAGAATTTTTTGTAATCTTTTGAATACAATTGTTACTTGAAAGGAAGTTATGGAAAGTTGCTAAGTAGGTACAAAATTTTAAATGTCTTTCCAATTTTCCTGTCTTGGAACAAAAAAAGAGTTTTAGGAACTCCTGAAATTGCTCATGTTTACTGTATAGAATTAGCTGCCCTATGAATTTCTTGTCACCTTTGAATCTCTAGTAAATCTTGTTACTTTTTGATATATTTTCTTTTCTTAATGCCTCAAAGGGAGTAGATAACTGAGAAACGGTTTCAAAAATTAATAGCAACCTGCTTGAATGCTTTTTCTCCAATACTTGGAATCTTTCATACGTTCCATCTTATCTTCCCAGTACTTTCAAATCTAGTCAGTTTGTTTAGGTAATTTTGTGTTTATGTCAAATTGCAGCTTACTCCATCTGGAAGCATCTCATTGATAAAATCAATGCAGGTTATTAAAAATCCTGTAAAGACATGTGACAAGGTCTATTCCTTGATCCAGAGCTTGACTTCTCAGATCAGGCAAAGAATGGAAGATCCAAAGTCTGCAGGTACTTAAACATTTTTGTAGTTGTATCTGGTTTCTCTTGTTTACATCTGAGAAAGAATTGTAACTTAACTTATCTTCCTTAAACTCACTTTTAGCAGAACTTTAATCAACAATGGGTTAGGGATTTTCACAGTCTGATTCCATATGCATCATTTTAGAGTAAAAAGCAGGAGGAACACATGGTCATATTGCAGGTAAGGGCTTTTTCTGATGTTCAGAAGTTCAGGCTTGTCCTCAAATGTTTGCAGAAAGTCTTAATTATTTGAAACTCAGTGGTCGACATGAGTAATAGGAAAAGCAGATGGTACTAAAGCTAAGTTACATAGGTACATTTTTATATTTAAGTATCTTTGCTGAAGATCTGTTGCCTCTTGTATGATGCCTAGTAGAGTTGCATAGAATGATGCCCAGTATTAATGGTGCTGAACCAGTGACACAGGAAAACTAGAGCTGGAAGTGACCACAGTGCTTTTTTGATACTAGCTAAATACTGGAATATTTGCTGTCAGTGTTCTCTGCAGGGTATAGTATGCAAACAGCTTCTGTTCTGAGATTGAGCAGTGCGAGTGTCACGTGTACATAGTATCAGTGGTTTTTGTCTGTTTGGTCTAATCTCCTCTCCTGGGATGGGCATAATCCATCCTTTCTACCAGTCTCTTGGCTCTTGCTGTTGACACATGCAAGAGAGACAGACAAATGGGATGTGTGGTCTGGTCTAAAACTGAGATGTTGTCCTGCTCCTCTTCCTCCCTCCTAGAATTTTCGTTTTTTGCTGCTTTTTTATATATATGATCTGTGTTGTAGGACACTTTATTCTGGTGCTGTAGCTTTGCTTAAAGGGCCAGTGGTGCATTTCTTCAGTGAAGCTTTCTGCTATCTTGGTGTAGCTATGTAGCTGTGATGCTTTGAGCAGTAAAATTAACCATATGCACATCTGTTCCCTCTTCTTAGAAGTAATGCAGCTAACTTATTTGATCCCTTTTATCCCTCTGTATTCAACTGTTACTACCATGTAATTAAAATTTCCCTTTTGTTACTTGGATAGTCTTGATTACTGATATAAGATATGTGTCTATCCAGATATTCAGCTGTACCACAGTGAAACACTAGAACTGATGCTGCGCAGGTGGGCCAAGCTGGAAAAAGACTTTAAAACAAAAAATGGAAGATACGATATTAGCAAAATTCCTGATATTTACGACTGTATAAAATACGACGTGCAGCACAATGGCTCCTTAAAATTAGAAAACACAATGGAATTATACAGGCTTTCAAAGGCTTTAGCTGACATCGTGATCCCTCAGGTAAGCTTTTTCAGTTACTAAATAGAATAAATTGTAGAATTAATGCTTTTTCAAATTTTGTGAAAACGTCTACTCTGTCTTTCTGTTGAAGGTTCCTGTATTTTGCAGTAATAGAAGCCTTTAACGTTACCTCTTACTTTCCAGTAGCAAGCTGATTATTTTTTGTAAAAAAAATTTGATTCATAATTCATTAAGCTGTGTTCAGAGTGAATTTTTCTAGAAATTTAAGCTGTGAACATGTCTACTTCCTTTACTGCAGTGTATTAAAGTGGTTCACCTCAGCCATTCTTCATAGATTTAAGTGGAGCCCCTGTGAACAACTGTATTCTGAAATTGCATTTAATTTCATTCTTCCTGCTTTTAGAAATTTCATTTTCAGACTCTTTGCAAATGAGACCGTTAATCCTAATCTACCTAATTTCACTTGTTTTAAGCAATTTAAATTTAAAAAGGCCTTTCTGCTGCTTCAAAATGCTAACACTCCCTGATAAAAATGTACACATTAAATTTCATAGAATTTCAGTCTAGAAGCAGACAAGTTCAACTTCCGTATACTACAGGCTGTTAAACTCCGGTTAGCTCTAAAATGTTGTAGGCTGCAGGACATGAAATTGTTTTGTGATAACAGGACAGAACAGACTAAAGCTTTCCCCAAGTGCCCCTGCAGTTACAGGGCACTGTTGTAAAAGAGGTGTTATTCATATTGTATGCAGCGAGTGAGGGAACTTCTTCCTCTCCCCATCTCTCAAACTCCGTGACGGCAAGGAGGACAAAAAGAACAACGATACTAAGTATGTGTTGTGTTATGTGGGCCTGTCAAGCTTAAATTTTTAGTAGAGTATTAGAGAAGAGTGGGTGAAAATGAGGACACATACTGAAGGAAGAAAACCAAAGAAAACTTGATAAGCCTACTTAATGCAAAGGGAAAGTGCTTATGTTGCTTTCTAGGGTAACCAGAAGATCCATCATAATGATGAGAGCACTTTCATATCATGTGTAGCACAGACCATGAAGCTTCTGGAAGAGGAGATTTTTAAATATTTTAGATACTGTAACAGATATAATATTTTCCAGTTGTATTTAACTACCATTTTCCTTATTATGTGAGGTGAATAGGAGATCTTCTGTGGAAATTGGGGGGGGGGAGGGGGCAAGGGGATGGGGAGGAAGAACAATTCCCTAGATGTTTTGCTTAAGAGAAAGAGCTTCATCATACTAGAATCCACTTTTGCGGTTTAAGTAGTGAATGAAAAATTGTTTGTCTGTGTCAAATCAAACAGCAAAAAGGCAAACCACGTGTTACTTGAAGGGATGTCAGTAATCAAATGTAATAAAAATTTTCAACAAAACAGTTTGCAGCCAGAGCAAACTAGTAGATGACTAATTGGCTTTAATATACAACATTGAATTAGAAGGCATTTTAATCTTTAACTGAATTTTAAAAGTCACTTTCTTCTTACACAGGAATATGGTATTTCTAAGGCTGAGAAACTAGAGATTGCCAAAGGTTACTGCACTCCTCTAGTTAGAAAAATCCGTTCTGACCTTCAGAGAACTCAAGATGATGATACTGTAAATAAGCTTCACCCTCTGTAAGTCTTTTACTTTTTTACATGGTTACATTAATTTCCATAAGACTTAATGAAAATATTCCATAGCTTTATATTTTAAATATCTTACTAGCTCATAGTAGTTTAAAAAGTATGATTTATTTATTTGTTGACAGCTATTTCTAAAGTAGGGACACATCTCATGGTCTAATAACATTTTTTTTTCTTTCAAGTTACTCCAGGGGTGTTATGTCCCCTGAACGCCATGTTCGTACACGGCTGTATTTCACCAGCGAGAGTCATGTCCATTCCCTGTTATCCACCCTTCGTTATGGTGCCTTATGTGATGTAAGTTGAA